AGGCACTTATTTCAACTTTAATTCACTTGCAAAAAAAAAGATAAAGTTGGAGGCATGTGTGAGAGCGCTTTCCTCAGAAAACAATGGGTGAGAGCAAAACAGTAACTTTCGGAGACAACCGGCAGACCCCCAGGCCAAGGGAGCTGTCGTCCCAGACTGCACACGCCCTGGTGGCCTTTCCCGGGAACCTTCTGGGCCTGGCCTGGGCACGGCCTCTTGCTCAGCACAGTCACCAGCCCTCCCAGGCCTGTGTCTGCCCTTACTCGGTGGTGCCCCGAAGACTGCACCAACAGTGAACACAAGGCGGCAGGGTCACTGGCGGTGGTTGAAGGGGAAGGAGCCGTGGTTTCGGGTCCCAGGTCAGATAACCAGGATGTTAACAACGGTCTTACTCATCTCCGCACACAAGGCGACTTGGAATCGTGGCTGAAGGTGACCCAAAAGCATGGCGTGGGAGCCAGCAGGACATGAAGATATTTACTAAATTAGAAATTTTGAAGTTTCTCACCTTCAAAATGGGTTCCTTGGCTTAACATGAATATTTAATGACTTAGCTAGAAGAATTTTCAGGTCACTTGGGAAAGTTAAAAACAGCATTTAGTTCCACAGAAGCAAGGGACGAATCAAGCAGCCCCTCACGGGCAGAAAGCAGGGCCCTGGCTTCATACAGGGGCTTTGTGGAATGTCTCTCTTGGGTGGAGAGAAGCAGCTTCATTTTAAGAACTCAGCCCCCAACAGAAGTTACATTCCTCAGCCAGGGAATGCACACCCCTCATCTCCGAAGCTTATTGTGTTAAAACGCATAATGTATGAATATTAAATCATGAGAACTAGAGCAAAGAAGACCACCCAACTGTCACTCAGATACTCTTCCGAGGAAGAGAGCTAAAAATATACACCAACACGCTCCAGCTACCTGGGCTATGCTGGGTGCTTCCGGAATTTCTTAAAAACTACTTTTGTATCTAATCCGTATGCTTGTCATGTGCTTTTCCTTTCTGTGGGAATGCAAGCTCTGTCCTAGGCGTTTGGAAGAAGTGGGGTGTGTGACGAGAAGACAAGAGCAGCAGGATTTAATAGTTCCATTTTGAATCATCCTTGAAAATTGCTTCAATGGCTTATGACTGACATGCTTCCAAGACAAGCCCCATTAGAATGGGGAGAAGGCGGGCAGGACTGAATTAAACGAAGCATGCCGTGGGTCAGCTTTTCATGTATTTTGAAAAAGTCCATTGACTTTTAACATCAGTGAGTGCTCAGTATTACTACCAAATAGCCGAATTATAAAATACGTTGGCCGTATGGAATCACTGAGCCCTTACAATGCTTAGCTGGAAGGGGACGAAGGCTAGTGGACAGCATCCCAACAGGACAGAGACGGAAGAAAGAGAGAACTGTCTGTCGCTTGGGGGGAGGGGAAGAAAAGGGAAGAAAACTGGGGTAGGAAAATCTTTCTCTGCCCTTGGAGGATGGAAATGGATGGTCAAGAACAGTCACTTCAGGAGAGGGTGGGACCCAGGGATGGGGGACTGTGGGTGGCCAGGCATGTGCCCGCCATCTGCCAGTGCCCTTGGCTGCCAGGCATCAGCCTTGAACCTGTGCCACTTGGCTCTGCGTGTCCTCTGCCCAGGACAGCCAGCGCCAGCCCTTCCATCCCTTACCGGGTCCCATGCTCCCCAGGACAGACTGAGGAAGTGGGAAGCGGAGAGTGAGCGAGGGAACAAACAGGGAGCTCTGGTTTCGGTTTCTCCAGTTTTTCACAACTGGATGAATGAATGACTGCGCTTAGGAACATTTATTCACTTGACACACAGTGACCAGGCCACCTTGGGAGACACTAGAAAGCTCAGGTGTGTGGTGAATGTCGCGATAACTCCTTTGACTGCTTGTGGCAACTGGGAGGTGGGTTGTTGATAAAGGTGTGAGGGTGCCAGGCTTGGAGAGGAAGATGCCAGGACAAATCCTGAAGGGCTGTGAAGGGCAGAAGGGGACAGCGGCCACACAGCGGCATGCCTGCCATCCCTGGTTTAGGAGGAGCGTTTGAGCGGCGACTGGCAGGACAGGAGGAGCTGCGTGCTCTGGAAAGGGGGACGATGTGGAAATAGTGAGAGCTGTTCCTGCTCAAAGGCGCTGACACCAGCCACGGCGTGGGTGGGCGAGCGGGTGGCCGGACCAGGGTTAGAGAGAGGCAGGCACCGAAGGGCTTTGTCTTATAGTTATTGGCTCTTTCTGTGTTGTCCATGCCCTGACCTCAGTCCCTACTTGTTTCCCAAGCTTTTCCAAGTCTCTGTGGCTCAGTGGACCCTCCATAAAGATGTGGTAGAAAATAAATATGTAGCTCATGTTCATTAAAAATCACTGGGGGCCCCGCAAATAAACAACTCTCTCAAGCTCAGAAGTGGCTGCACCAACTAAATGATTTCCGGAGCCAAAAGCAAGCCACTGGCCAACATCAGACACGTTAATTATAAATGGATTTTTCTTTGACTTGAAATAATTTTCTAGATATAGTGAGAATTATCCAAATTCCAGACGAAATGGTTTGTAACCAAGGTAACCATCGTCATGTCAAAAGGCTAATAATGTAAGATGCAAATTTAAGACATGATTATGTAATACAGAACCAAAAGTATGTTTTCCCCTTTCATTGGTCTTTGCTGCTAATTCTCACTGGCCTTTAATAAGGGAGATAACAGTGGTAAAATAGCCCGGACAATGGGCATTATTTTTAAAGGACAGACTTTTAGTAGAGCTCTTTGAAGAACCATCGTCCTCAAAAGACTGCTGGGTGCAAAGGAGATACTGTTCCCTACTGAGGAAGTGACTAGTCATTGTCATTTCTCTAGAAACCACTTCATTTGGTTGTAAGTTTTTAAAACACCCACCCACAGAGAAAAACTCAACGCCCCATAAAAAAATGCCACTTCAAGTCCTGAAAGCACAGTGGCTTTTGAGGGTTAAATAGGGTTAGGTCCCCAAGCTCATCCCCTTTCACACAGTTCACAGAACATAAATTATGGCCTTTTTTTTCCTTCCTTAAAAGCAATAATGAGAAAGTGCTATTTTGACCAGAAAGCAGAAGGCTTGTTAGGGATTACGGAGGGAACAGCCTCCAAAATCAACCTGGCGGCTGCCGCTCCTCAGGTGAAATTGAACTTGGCCCACTCGCTGACGTCCAGAGACAGAATCTTGGTGGATGCTTTGCATGGCTGAGCCCCAGGCAGGACGGAACAAGCAATGTAAACTTTTTGCAAATTGATGCCACTGAGCTGATGACACACTTTTTCTGTCCCCTTCCTCCATGCCTAGGTGTTTAGAGGTGGGGAAATAAAAGACCCTGGAAACCGGAGGAGGGCCCCGCTTTAACTCCCTTACATCAAGGGAGAGCACAGGTCTGGCTTCTGGTTTCATGACCCTAAGAAAAAAAAAATATCTCAAACGTGGGCAACACTGTTCTTCTAAGAACGGCCCGTGATTTTCACACTGGCCAACGTCGGCTTCCTGGTGTCACCAGTTGAAGAACCAGTCTGCCCCTGGCAGTGTTACTGAGACGCGGCCTCTACCACACGGAGCTTCTGTCTCCCCACTCCCCTCAGCTGCTCTCCCCCGCCCCCGCAAGAGTGTTCTACGTGTCTAGGACTGATGGGAAGAAAAGTCAATGCTAAACAGAAACAGATCAATAGAGCTAAACTTTTAGTGCTGGCAATTCCTTAAAACCTTTCAAAAAAAGTTAAGGTGTTCTGAAGGAGAAACACATCAGTCCTTTGAAAAATAGCCCCAGACGTAAATGCCTCCTCTGTTGGGTCTAAGAATTGCCATCATAGAATTCATACATCTGTGAGCTGGTGTAGTTGCAACAAAACCACAAAGCTTAGGAAACATATTCAGGTACATTGTTCGACCAAATAAGCCAGGAGCCCTCATTAACAGGAAGCAGACGTCTGCTGTGTTCAGGGTAGGGACCGAGCTCTCACGGTTATGAAATAATTCACAGACCAGCTGCTAGCACTGGTTGGAGTAAACAGAGGGGGCAAGAAAGAAAAAAAAAGGTCCAGGGTAAAGGTGAGCCATGGATGGGATTTTTAGGGTGGGGTGGGAAGACAGTTGGAAGATTCTGGAAAGCCCCTTGAGTAGTATATATCCATATATTCATTTTTCTGGAGAGTGCCTCTAGCTTCCGGAACGTTCTCAGGGGTCCTTGGCGCCCCCATTGTACCCCTCTCCACACACGGGGAGGCAGAGGAAGCCCTCACCACCAGCAGCCCAGTTCCTTGTGACTCCATGAAAAGACAGAGGCTGGGGTACCCTCCCCCTAAAAAGTTGTCATATTATAACTGGTGGGCTATTCCTGCTCTCAAGGTGGTGCAGTGATAAAGCTCTGTGATGATTTTTAACTGTAAATTATCCTCTGGTGCCATAAGTATATTATATGCAGTGATTCTGGAAAGACCCTCTCAAATAAAGCATTAAAGGACACTTTACTGCATCATTAACTTGGTATAGAACCAACAAGCTGCTCCTGATAAACACTAATTAATGAACGATTCACTAAACAATTTTGTTTTCCTGAAATTTACAAGAGCTTTCCTGGGGGGTGACTTGAGGCCTAGGTTGCTTTAAAAAACAAAACAAAACAACAAAACCACCTAGAAATCTGAGGGCATACGTCGATGTCATCCAATCCTAAGGTCAATGTTGACTTTGTCTTCAGGGGTCAATGCTGGCCTTTGAGGTCTAACCCCACCCTGAGGCCTGAGCACAAAAGGGTCATGTGTAATCGAAGACACAGCCCCAGGGGTAGAGGACAGTCACGGGAGAGTGGGCACAACCGCAAACCCAATCTACTGGCTGAATCATCATCCGTCCAGGAAAGGGGCTTAGCCGGAGAAAAGGCCCGAGCTGAATGGTCTCACGTTCGCGTCGCTTTTCCCTAAGTGGCCTGTGGCACCTGCCCCCAAACTGCACCACGAACAGGAAGGGAGACCACGAGAGGCACTTACCAGATGCAGGTGGCTGGTCACTGGAGGGGCTCCCAGACCCTGGGTCTCCCCGGCTGGAGCTGGGGGGCCTGGCTTCAGCGGCGTCCCCGGCCTCTTCTGGCAGAAGGCCCGTGCCATAGGCGCACTGGGGCAAGTGTCCGCTGCAGGGGGAACCCAGGAGGGGCTCCGGTTCCTCCCCAGGAGGGTTCCTGCAGCCTGCGCAGCCGTCGGCCGAGCTGAAGGCTGCCCAGTGGGGGCAGTTGCCGCCCTCCACTTCTTTCTGCAAGTACTTTTCGGAGGACAAGAGAGTCCAATCCGTCCTGCCCGGGGCCTCGGCCAGGGGGCAGCTGTCGGAGTCGGCCAGGCTCTCTGCCCCCGTGAAGCACTGGCTCAGACTGTCGTTCTCCCCAACTTCCAGTGGCTCGGGGAAAGGGGGCGCGGACTTGCTCCCCGGCTGAGCGAGCGACAGCAGAGAGTCTGGGGTCTGGGAGGGCCTGTCCACGTACTCGTCTTCCATGGGCATCTGCTTGAAGGGGTCCCCCTCCGTCTCGCTGACCACGGTGAGCAGCCTGGCATCTTCTGCGCGCGCGCAGGGCCCGCCGCCCTCACAGGCGCCCCCGCAGGCCCCGCCGCCATTGCCGTCGGGACAGCACAGGTCCTCAGCAAACCTCTTCTCCTCCAGGGTCAGCAGTAGGGTGCCGTCGCGACATTCGTGCTGGCGAGAGGCGTCTGTGGGAGGGCTGCTGAAAGCGCTGTCCGCCGATTCCTGCTGATGCAAAGTTAGGGGCAGGGACGTTAATTCCCAGTTATTAGAATCTGGCTCTGCTACGCACACCTGCTGAAAATGGTGCGGATAGTACTTATTTCCACCATGGGACGACCAGATGAACACTCGCTATATAGCAGTTTGTGTTGTTTAAAATGAGAGCGTGGGCCCTCGATGGAGTGGCTCAGTGGATTGAGCGCTGGCCTGAGAACGAAAGGGTCGCGGGTTCAATTCCCAGTCAGGGCACATGCCTGGGTTGTGGGCCAGGTCCCCAGTAGGGGGCGTGTGAGAGGCAGCCACACATTGATGTTTCCCTCCTTTTCTCCCTCCCTTCCCCTCTCTCTAAAAATAAGTAAATCAAATCTTTAAAAATAAAATAAAATGACAGAGTAGGGAAGAACTCTGAGAGAATACAACCAAAACGAAGGAATCCAACTGCAGTCCACGTATATAGCATGTTCACATGGACGTAAGGGCAAGGGCCAACCCAAATAACTTCACAACACAGAACTTTGCCTATAAACTCTCAATCTAGGTTTAAAAATACTCTCTACAAATACTGAATTCTAGCTTTGTTTTTTGCTGTGGTAGGCATAGTAATTCTGAAACCACTTTCTATGTATTCTGGGATTTAGCAAATGAGTAAATACAATGAGAGTAATAGGAGGCAGGTTTCCTGCTGTTGGAGAGAAGAGATTCATACGTGGAGCGAGGAAAGATTAGAATGTGCTGCTGGAACAGACACTGGAGAAATCAGTATGAGCTCCTGGTATAAAATCTATATATTTTTACACCTAAGAAAATAGATCTAAGGGGCATAGTGGAATAACTAGTGAAATTTTAATATCAAATGTGGATTAGATAATAGTATTGTACCACTATTAAATTTCTTGGTTTTGATAAATGAACTCCTGTCATATAAGAGAATATCCTTGTTCTTAAGAAATTCACAATGACATATGTAAGCGTATTGAGGGACGATGCCTGCCATTCACTCTGAAATGGTCCAAGGAAAAAAATACATCTGTCCACCCACGTACGCATAAAGAGAGAGAGCAGGTAGTAAAGCAATGGCAGAGCGTGCGGGGCAGACCCGAGGGCGGGGAACGCGGGCCTTCTCTGTGCTGTTCTCACTGCTTTTCTGTCATTGGGAGAGGGTATCAACATTCATAGCTACCAAAATAATTGTCAGGTAAAGGCAAATAGAAGCTCTTTCCTTCTAGGAATCTGTTCTAGGCCATCAAGATTGGCACTAAAAAATACTATAATTAACGTTTGTGCACGGAGGTGACAGAAATGGAATGCAATACAAGAAAGCAGCATTTAGGAAGAATACTGGGCTGGGCTGGGCTTGGGGTTATTCCGAGAGGACCAGCCCTGGGGTTTGGGTTCCCATCCCCTCCAGGCAGTACCGCTTCCCCAAGGGGGCTCCGTATTTGACTAATAACATCTCAGCCTGATTGTGAAAAGTACTTCTAGGAGTGCTTTAAATTTACCTTATTTCCACTTAGGCGGCCGCATGCCTCATTGACCCAGCGCCACAAATTAGCTAGAAAAACAAAGCAATGTAAGGTCTTTGTATTATTATTTCCTATTTCTAATTCAGTATCACTGACCACTATGGCAGTTCAACACTGTCTTTAAACATAACCTTCTGCACATCTTTCCGTAAAAGTTCCTAAGAGTGAAAACATTCAAAAGAAAATCAACCAATCTAAAGACTAGAAAGACATCTTACTCCTCTTCCTCCCACCAGAAACAGAACCTTCTGATTCATGTGATGCAAAATACGATCCACTGTTCCACTGAATGCGGGCACATTTGAGATTGTCAGAGCTGCTGTTAGGACGACAAACGTTCTTGGTCCCTTAGTGATGTTTTTTTGACTACTAGGGGCTAGGCAGGGCATCGTAGGGGAAGGAAGGTGACGCGGGTCTAGGAGACTGACTCTCTAGTGAACTAGCTCAAATACATGTACAGTAACAGTCAAGGACATTCTGGGAGGCCACAGCAGACCTCGCTGAGGGCCACAGGCCCTGAATCCTTTTCAGCTATGCCCTGTTGCCTCTCAGAAAAAAAGAAGACTATGTTTTGTGGCATACATAAGTTATACGTTTTAAAAATAGGAGTGATGAAGCTTAAGTCAAACCCATGAATTTAAAAAAAAAAAATCAATGAGGTTAAATCATACAGAGACAAAATTTTATCCCATTGCCAGTGAACTTTAATGTTGAATTCATGGTTGTCAATTCTCCACTGGAAGATGATCACGTCATAATAATAGCTGATGATGCCTATGATAAGACCTTGCCCAGTTTATTTAACTTCTCCGAGGCTCAGTTTCCTCATCGTAAAATTGTGGAAATAACAGTGTCTACCTCATAGTGCTGTTGTGGAGATTTAGTTAGTACATTAGAATGCATACAGCAGTGTATACATTTACTGAATAAGTATTCAATACATGTTAGTTATTGCTATCCTCATCATTATAATTCTTGTTTCTTTTCTATAATTTACAAATTACATAAAAATTAAGATACTCCAAATAAAAGGAAAGCCGTAGTTCTTTCCTTGTGGGAATCAGTACTGGACAATTACAGATGGCACTAAAAAATAATATTTGTACGCAAAGATGACGTTTGTAACTACTGTGATACTCTCTCCTAGATAACTGCAAAGGACCTCCTCCCTGGCATGCCTGTGCCCTCTCTTACTGCACCCCCACGTTTGTTTCCCGCACTAAAGCAGTGAGCTGTTTCTCCTTCCCTTTGCTGCCACAGGGAGAGACGTCCTCAGCGAGGCCGGCAGGGCTACGCGGTGTGGCCGGCCTCCCCACCCCCGAACCAGGTTTCATCTCCCAGGCTCAGACCTTCTGCTCCCACTGCACCTACCTTTCCATCTATCCGCCGATTCACTGCTCCCCCAGCCTGAAATTCTCTCTACAGAGGGCTCTGAATTCTCCTTGACTCCCTCGGGCCAGTTAAGTCCAGTTTGTCTTGCTGGTCTCAGCTGCCCTGTCTCCTCCCCTGCGAGGCGCTGGCTGACCTCAAGGCTGGGCACACTCCTGTTCCCTGGCCACCTGGAGCGCGCTCTGCACCGCCCGGTCCATCCTGAGCCTCTCTCCAGGGGCCCACGCCTGCCCTGCCCACGAGCACCCCTCCTCCAGGAGGCGCTCGCTGCCCGCATGTGGCCCAGTGGTGAGGCCCCGGGGCCAGTCCTGTCCCTGGGGGCCAGTAAGCACGTGTCACAGGAGGGGATGAAGAGAACGCTAACAGTCATAATCCCCGATTCACTAACCGCTAGGCCCATTTTCGTTCTCATTGATGAGACGGAGGTAAGAGATCGCCAAAGAGACAACAACTCGAGACCAAGCAGCGGAAGTCTGTTTATCTCACATAAACACGACTACAGGAGCGGTCTGCGGCATTTGAACGTGCATAATTCAAATCCCTAGTTACGACGCTGTTAGGGAAATGAAGTTGCATTAAATAAAAAATACTCAGGGCCCTGTACGGGGGTAGTTCAGTTGGTTCAAGCATCACCTGGCTATGCCGAGGGTGCAGGTTAAAGCCCTGTCAGGACACACATAAGAATCAACCAGTGAAGGCATAAATAAGGGGAACAACAAATCGATGTCTCTCCCGCCCTCCTTCCTCCCATTCAAATCAATAAAGAAAAAAATAATAATAAACAGACTTTTAAAAGTTGGATTAGCATTGCTCTCTGCTCAACACTGCTATCTTCAGTTGCCATCTCCCCTCTTTATTAACCTTCTGGTTGCCCCGGTGTGCCATAAGGTAATGCAGTGTTAGTGGGAATAGCAGAGTAAGCAGGGTTTCACTCGGCGAGGCGGAGGCGGGCAAGGCAAACGAGTGAGCAAGCGAACACGGAAAAGGATGGGGAGGCAGCAGAGCCCCGAGGGGCAGTGGCGTGCCCACTGAGGCCTTAAGAAACAGCTTCAGGAGCCCTGTTGAAGCCGTGAAGCCTTTCTTAAAAATTACACTTTTTAGCTTTTTAGTATAAAAGTCAATCATGATGTGACATAAAAAGACACTGTCAATTCTTTGGTACGAAAATTATTCACAATAAACAAGATGACACATGTTTATTCTCAACACGAGCATCTACATTTTACTGAACATAAGATAACTTGTTTTCATAATTTTAGATTCATATTTCAAGGTCACAACCCAACCCAAACCTTCCCTCCACCTTGACCTGAACATTTTGTCTCCATTTTAAGTGGGTGCATTGAAAATGTTTGTACGTTAGGGTAAATGCAACAGCCACCATCCGTCCAACACCACATAACCTGTACGATACAAACAAATGGTTTTGCAGTCATCAGTTTCCTGACCCTACAGTGTTTGTGTTTGCTTAGGCATAAATAGGCACGGTAGATTTTGTTTATTTTGCTAGAGAACAATGAATTAGGTATAAAGGGTGTCACACCTTAGTTTAAGTGCGATCACCTCAAGGCACTCATTCTAAGCGGATGGCCACATGCCATCAGCGGGTGCTATATGCATCTTCCAACGCACAGACCTAGAAATGTCTCTGTTTTTTTAAGATTCATTTTCAAAAACCACCATACCTGTTAGTGCTTTCCCTTTCTTCCTGTAGTAAATTCCAGAGATGACGGCCGCAACCAGGGCCACGGATACAAAGAGAAGCAGGATGACTAAACTGGGCAAGTAAACGGGGGGCTCTGTGTTGGAAGAAGGTGAGGAAATGGTATTAACGGTCATTTAATTTTAGTCTCTCAGCTTAAAAGCAAAACCGTTCCCTTCAAACCCCAGAATCAAGGGCGCTGGTCTGGAAGGAGAAGGCCGGAGGTCCCGACCCTGACCGGGTCTGTCACAGACCGCTCCCAGTCCGAAGGGCGGGGTTGCCTGCATGGCCCAGTCCCGCTGTCCAGCTTGTCTCGGGGAGAGGCCAGCCCAGGACCATCTTGAAGTGCTTCTGCTTTAGAACAATTCAAATCATGTGTGCCACGCCATCCGCTTCCACCGTGGCCTACCTGTGTACACCTCAGCCTCTCCAGGGGATCGGCCTCTGAGGCCGAAGCAAGCCCCTTATCATCTCTTTCCAAATAACAACACGGCATGAGGGTTTGCAGGTCCTGAGAACAGAACCACAGCCACTGTGCAAAGCGTTTTGGGTTTTTCGCCCGTGATACAATGTGGACTCAGCCATTCCTTCCATTCCCCCCAGGAACACTTCACTGCTAGAACTTTTATACGGGGTGGGGCAAGAGGGGGCTTACAGGTGTTTGTATGGAAAATAATTAAATAATTAAATAATTAAATAATTAATCAATAATAGCACAAGAATAGACTCTGTGTTTCGCATACTCACAACAGTAAACCTGCTTTTGCCCACCATGTATTATAAACTCTTGGTTTACATGACCTGGTTTCCGGGACTTTGCCTTCCCTCTCCTTCTCTCTCTTTCTCTCTAAGATTTTATTTATTTATAGAGAAGGGAAGGGAGGGAGAAGGAGAGGGAGAGAAACATCAATGTGTGTTTGCCTCTCACACACCCCCTACTGGCATGTGCCCTGACTGGGAATCGAACTGGCAACTCTTCGGTTTGCAGGCCAGCGCTCAATCCACTGAGCCACACCAGCCAGGGCTCCTTCTTTCTTTTCAAAAATAACTTTTTATTCCCTTTGTTAGTTTTCACACTATCTTCAAAATGGTCTTTTTTACAAATGTGGTTCTGACTATCACTCCATATCCAGACCCTTTGATGTCTTGTCTCCCAAAGTGTCAAATCTAAAGTCCTGATTTTCCTTAACCCCATATTCTGGGGCTGAGCTTCTCCTGCCTCATCTGAAAGGTCTTCTTGACACATATGCCATCCCGCAGGCTGTGATGACAGCACCCACCTCCATGCCATCTTGCTCACCTGGACAACCAGAAGCCACATTAACGGTCAACTTTCTGTCCCTCTTTGACCCTCTACCTAAGATTAATTTGATCTACAAAATGTTTCATAAAAAATGATAGCTGTATTCTAACAGGTTGCTAACGCTGGTTGGTGACCAAAATCTCCCACAGATACTTGTATTGTGCCCACTGCCACCCTACCCTATTTGGGCATTTTAATTTATGTTTGTAGCTCAATTTTTTTACACACACACACACACACACACACACACACACACACACACCCCAATTAGTTATCCATTCCAGAGTAGAAAATAGTCAAGTAAATAACATATCTGGAATTAAAATACTGACAAAAATGAACTACCAAACTGACCACAGCTGGGATGAGAGGCAAAGGGAGAGAAGAGCCCCCAGACAGGGTGTGTAATTTGGGGGGAATCTAGAAGAGCTGACTAAACTGGGCATATCACCAACCACCCCGCTCTCTTGAGACATACCGTTTGGGAGTTTTTCAGACTTCAGAGGAGAACTACAAACCACATCTGATTTATCGGTTCCACGACGTGCTTCGGTTGCTCCGAGACTCGTACAGCTGTGGGGAGGCGGTGGGGGGGAAGGGGGTTCAGTGCTTCAGTTTTATATTCTTGCTTTTATAAAAAAAAAGCTACAAAAGGCTCTGCTCTGCTGGATTGCGAGGTCCTTTAGGACAGAAGCCCAGGTCTCCCTGGACATTTGGATCCCCCCGCCCCACCACACACCACACAGGAAGACAAATTAATGAACAGAAGTAAACGCTACCTGTGCTCTCTAAGGGCTACTCTGAGAGTATGGTCTGAGAGACAGTAGTAGACTGGTGTCCTCAGCCAAGAAGGTTCCAAATGCTTCCCTCACCAAGTGATAACTTTTGGTGAATGCTTTTTTGAAGTTGAAAACACAGGAAGTCTTTTCAACATAAAACTTGAATAAGTGGATCAGAAAATAAACATTTAATGAGAATTAATATATTGGGAACTGCAGGGATCATTATATTGATTATTGATATTCAACAACCAGCATACAATGAAAGGATCCAGGTACCACTACAGATACACTAACATAAATATGAAATGGTATATATGAGATGATTCATTCAAAATGATTATTTATTGCACAAGACTGGAAACAATCTGCATGCCTATCAATAGGAAACTTATTAACTCAACTATGGCACATCTCTACAATGAAATATTATGTACCTATAAGAGGCCATGAAGATCTAATGAACTAACATGGAATGAGCTTCCTTCAAGATACATGATGTGAAAAAATTACATAATTTTTAGTCAGTGTTTAGAGTATGCAAATATTTATGTAGCCGGTGTGGCTTAGTTGGTTGGAGCATTGTCCCATAACCAAAAGGATGCGGGTTTGATTCCCAACCAGGGCACATGCCTGGGTTGCGGGTACCACCCCGGGTCTGGGTGCATATGGGAGGCAACCAATCAATGCTTCTCTCTCTCCCCCTTGCTCCCTCTATAAAAGCAATGAAAAAACAACCACGGGTGAGGATAAAGGAAAAAACGTTTTTAAAAACCCCCACTTATGTAAACATGAGGCTTCTTTATGCACATGTACACACACAAATCTCTGGGAGAAGTGGGGGTGATGAGTAAATGGTAAACGTCATCAACCATTTTCAAATAAATAAGGTTAGAAAAAGGAAAAAAGAAGCTGTGACTATAAGTCAAAATTGACTCAAAATGACTCTAAAAAGTAACATACAGTGTCTGTCACGAATCAGGTTGAAGAGTTGGTTGGACGAGTTTTATTTTGCCTGCACTGAATTGACAGACTTTTTACAATTTGAACAAGGCTTTGCGAGGAAGCCTCACCAAACCTGGTCGGTCTGTTTTCAACCCACATGAGACTGTGCTGGTTGAATTTTTTAAAATCAACAAACTCTCTGGGTCCCTTCATCGTCACTTACTTGGTCCAGGGTTTGCATTTTTCTGCGGAAGAAGAGGCCTCAGAGAAATAGCCTGCAAGGCAGGGCTCACACACCGTGTCTTTGTTGAGCTGCACTGTCGAAAAAACAACAAACAAACGGACAAACAGAACAAAAACCAAACAAAGACACTTAGAGATCGGCCAGGACAGTGGTCCAGACACAGCAATCGGGAGCTGTCCCTCTGCCTCCCGCCTCCCGCCTCCCCATCAGCCCCCGCCTCGCCACCTGTGGCTCATAGCTTCGGCCCCCCAAGGCTTCCGAGGCCCACGATCCCAGCAGGAGGTGCAGAGCTATTATGCTCAGGAGCATAACTGGCTCAGTGTCAGGCCTAGTAAAAATGCCCCCGTGTGGCCCCCACCTGACCAGCACACTAAAGCCGGTGCCTGAGTTAGGTCCCGACCCTCTGCTGCTCAGAGCCGCCGCCCAGGTCACCCATACTCCATTTCCTAGCTGGGAGCCTGCTGTCTAGCTTGCTTTAACCAAACGCCTGTCCGATCTCCTCTTTCAGCCTTTTGGGCTTACATCAACCTTCACCTCCAGAGAACGGCAGTCCTTTTATCGCTCTTAAGGACAACTTCTTGACCTGACCTCTTCTGACCAGCTTAATCTCTCCAGTCCAAGTATGGGAGTGACAACAGCTTTCTAAACAAAAAACAAACAAGCAAACAAACTCCTACAGGTCTCTTTCTCTCTTCCTCTCTAACCAAGGGTTGGTAGCAAGCCTTTTCCTATAAAGAACCCAATAGTAAGTACCCTTTGCAGGCCTTCTGGTCTCTGCGTAGATACTCGTAGCCTGAAAGCAGCCGTAGACGATATGTTTTTTAAAAAAAATGGATGTGGCTGTGTTCCAATAAAATGGTTTACACAAACACAAGTGATGGGAGGGCTTTTGGACCCCTGCTGCAAGCCACAGCCCTGAAAGCAGGAATTGATCCTGCTTGGCAAGCTTTCTTCAACTCATATTCCCCGTAAACTATGTCATTAAAATAGGAAATGTCTCAGATTTCCTATGTCTATTACCTTTACTACTACTGACTCCAAAACCACAAATTACTCTTGAAATGAGTAACACTTCTGTGATTTATTGCTGTGAATAAAACACCAAACTAAGGAATTGCATGCTTTTTGTCAAGTGGGAAGTCAAGGCTTGATTTCTGCAATGGCCTCAATAAGGAGGGTACTTGCCCCTTTCATCTATTTGATTTGCCTTAAAATGATAGTAACAAAAGCCCAGTAAACATCTAATCACTCACATAAATTCAAACAGCTTTTAAAAAGATAAACACACTCTAGAAGGGAAGCCCTTAAACATAAAGAGGCTTCTTAAAGGGCTGCAAGGTAGCAGAGCTTCAAACGCATTGGTTCCCCTACACTGGGCTTCCAACGCTGCTCTTTGTAACTGACCTGCCAGGGACATCCTGTAGGTTGCCTGTCCCTGTTCCCTTTCATAACCATACTTCTCCCACTTTACAAAAGAGAGCAGACTTCTTACCCGCTCCAAACCCTGCTACGGGGCCAGACCTCTGAGGCTGCAAACAAAGCAACAAGTCGAAATATTGGTAACAGCCAAGCTCCTGCATTCAGGGCACCTCGGCATAGCGTTTGTCTCTCCCTGGCAGACGTGTGGCAGCAGGAGCTAGGTAACTGGGACCAGGCTACGCTGTCCTAAGTTCCAGGACAGCTGATCCTTGAACAATGCGGAGTTTAGGGGTTTTGGCTGTCCCCCTCCCCGTGCAATCAAAAACCCACATATAACTTCTAACTCACCAAAAACTTTACTAATAGCCTACTGCTGCCAACTGGAAGGATTATGATATTGAAAAATCAACACATTTATTTTATGGATTATATACTGGATTCTTACAATAAAGAAAGCTAGAAAAAAATAAAATGGTCTGAAGAAAATGAGAAAATATTGTAGTATCTTTATCAATACAGTAAGTTTTTAAAAACCTGCATATAGGTGGACCTGTGCCGTTCAAACCTGTGTTGTTCAAGGTTAACTACACGGAGCAAAGTAGGGCAGGAGTGAAATTTTCATTCACCCACATCATTCCCTCCATCCTCCAACTGTTGCCAAAGAAGGAGCCATCGCCGAAGAAGCGAGGCAGAGAGGACATCGATGAGGAAAAAAGCAGGGAAGGTGACAGCACCTTTTCCATGCAGGTCACAAACTTGCAGAAAGTCCCTGGGCCTTGTCTATCTGAGGATCAGATTTCAGAAGGGAGCTGGCTGTCACAGGAAGATTGATTTTAAAAACTGAAAAAATCAAGTCAATAGCGGATGATCACTTTGTAAGTTACATAAATGTCTAATCAATTGTACACCTGGAACTAATGTAATATTGTAAGTCAACTCGAATTGAAAAATTGAAAAAAATATTTAAAAAAATCAAGTCAGACTTTTTCTAAGAGAAAGCTTCTCTGGTTTAGTTGAAACATTTGATAATCAGGATCAACTGTACCAGTTAGATTCTGTGATGGACATTTTCCTCAATATGAACTGAAAGGAATAATATTTTAATTCTGCTAACCCTGTCCAAGTTTTCTGGGTTAAAATCACATACCTCTCAGGGAAAGACTAACAGGTACAAATAATTTGCCACGTCTTGAAGAAACTGCTTCAGTACACTTCTTAGAAGTTGGGAAGTAAGTGAACACTTCTCCAAGTCAAAAAGATGTATTTTTCTTTACTTTCAAGAAACTTAAAGGACACAGTTCTTAAATAAGCAGTCATTAAACACAACTTTCATGTCACATCACTGTGTGGTCCTGGTCGTGACACACAGGAGGGGCTGACAGAATTGGGAGACATTCCTGTCACAGAATTCCTTCATTAGACATTAAGTTATTTATGTGAACGAGCTTCTCAGCACTTAGTGAGAACAGAATTAATGTATGTTGAATTCTGTTGCATTTTAGCAATAAGTTGTATTTCATTATGAAGATATGAGCTAATTGAAAAAAACTTCATTAATAATGAAGTTCATAAAGCCTTTTTTAATTATAATAAAGCAAAATATGATATATTCATGTTTGACCTATTCTGTAATAACTGTAGTAACAACTTAGTCCAGAAGGAGTGTTTTCAATCCTAAGAAACTTGAGGCACAGGAAATTTTTTAAGAGTCAGATTTCAAATAGGTGCCTATTTTTTGATATGAAAGAGTATGACAGGTGATAAGTAAAAACCCTCCAGGCACAAAAATACTTCAGGATAAAAGTCTGTGGGGAAGGTGAAATGAATACAAATCAAAGGAGGGAAAACATCTATACAACATGTCCCACAGTTAAGGCTGGGAGTGCCTTGTTAAATAGATCATGTTGGGTATCGAATTGCTATGGTGTTGACATCCATTGAATATTTCAGAAGGTGTTACTATCGCTGCCGTTCCTGGGAACTAAGTCCTTAGGAACTCTTTACATTTGTAATAAAAAATATTGAGCTGTCAACCTCAAAATATGCCAGGGTAGGGGGCAGTGCATGATTTTCCCCCCCAAAATTCTGCTAAGGAGGTGCACGAGTTGGTTTGTTTTGTTTTTTTAAGTGGAAGACCCTGCATTATCGGGCTTCCTCCTAAGGGCGGAGCCTGGAGACAGCACTTGCGCCAAGCGCTCACATGCCTGCGTTGGAACCGACCCAGGGCTGCCTGCTCAAGGAACCCTCAAGCTCCCCGAGCGCCCCCTGGCCCCGGAGCGTGCGTGACGCAAGGCAGGCGTCGCAGCGCCGGCCTTGGCCTCGGCATGATTGGCTGCTGGGCTCGGGGAGAGCGGAGGACGACTCGGGAAGCAGGCCCGTACCCGGGTGCCGGGCGCCGAAGCCGGGCGCGCACTCTGTGTTGCGGCGGCAGCAGTCGCAGTCCTCGCTCCAGTGGTAGCCGGCCGTACAGGCGCAGCGCCGCGGGGCTGTCCGGTTGCCGGTATCCACCGCCACCAGGGCCTTGCCTGCGGGCGACAGAGACAGGGCGGAGAGGCAGCGCGGGGACTTGCACTGCCGGGCACACAGCTCCCCCTCGCGCAGCCCCAAACCCCCGGCGCACACCCTGCCTCCTCCCGGACAGTGACTCATTTGGGACACTGAGTCCCCTCTCAGCTTCCTGTGCTGGCTCTAAAACATCCCAGTGGGGGTTTTCTCTCTCAATAATTACAAGGCGAGGCGTGTGGCTTTTTTAAAAGTTAGCTGTCGTGCTAGTAGGGAGAGGAGGGACTGGGGAGTTGATGAGTACCGATTACTCTGCCTAATGCAAAACAGACTTCACCGTTTCCTCATTTCTAGTAAATTCTGACGCGATCAACAGTCTTAACACGAACGCTAGACAGGACCTAAGAGGACGGGGTTTCTGGAGACTAGGGGCTCCTCCGAGATCCTGCAGGGCCACGATCATTCGAGGTCGGAAAACTGAGGTCACTGTTATTAGGTGAATGGACAAGTACAGAGGTTGAGCCTGAAGACAAACTTAGAAATGCATCTCTCCCCACGTACTCAGCATAACAAGCCGGCCTTTTCTCACAACACCCGCGGAGGTGAATGCTCACACACAGCTGGCCCTGTTATCCACGGATCCGTATTTGCAGGTTCACCCACTCACTAAAATGCCACCGGGGCCCCCAAATCAATACTCCTGGCACTTTTGCAGATTTGGGACAATTTTCAGCCACTCAGTGGACGTGCCTGTCCCCTGAGGGGGGCAAGGTGACGGTTTTGTCTTACTGCTTCAGCTCTCATACTGGAAACAAGGGTCTTTTTTGTGGCCTATTTAGTGTCTTATTTTTTGGCATCCTTGTGCTTTTGGTTGGTGACTTCACTATTTAAAATGGCTTCCACGCACAATGCGGAAAGGCTGTCCCTTGCTCCTAAGCTCAAGGCGGCTGTGGTGTGTCTTAGGGGGAAAATAGCTGTGTGAGGTAAACTTGGTTCAGGCATGAGTTACTGCGCTGTTGGTTGTGAGTCCAATGTTAATGAATCAAAATATTTATTAAATACGGTCTCCTTAATCAGAAACCCACGTAAAACAAGGCTATGGGTTGGCAGGTTGACAAAATGCTGGGACCAGAGGCTTGCCGGGACCCGTATTTCTCCTGGGAGCAGCGATTCAGTGGCTCAGAGTTTCCTAGTTCAGTGTTTGTGGAGATTGTATATAACCCTGCTGAATAACAAGAACTGGCTGCACACACATGATACAGCACAATAACAGTGTTTAAAACAGATCTTCTGCCCCTACACGACCCGCCTCATCTGGATTACCTAAGCGGCCCTATGCTTTATCTTCCTGAATACTTATTGAAGTTTGTTATGGACCAATGTTTGCACCCTCCAGAATTCGGCAGTGAACTCCTAACCCTGAATGTGTTGGTGTTAGGAGCTGGGGCCTTTGGGAGGTGATCATGTCATGAGGGTGGAGCCCTCATGAATGGGATGAGTGTCCTTATAAGAAAGACAACAGAGAACCCTGACCAGTGTGGCTCAGTTGGCTGGGCATTGTCCTGCAAAGCAAAAGGTTGCCGGTCAGGACACATGCCTGGGTTGGGGGTTCAGTTCCTGCAAGAGGCAATCAGTCGATGTTTCTCTCACATCATGTTTCTCTCCCTCTTTTTCTCCCTCCCTTTCCCTCTAAAAAATAAATAAAATTAAAGAATAAAGAAAATATGGAGAAAGACAACAGAGAGCTTGCTACCTCTGTCCGCTCTCTGCCATGTGAGGACCCATCAAGAAAGCAGCCGTCCTGGAGCCCGGAGAAGGGCCCTCGCCGCGAACCGGCCGTGCTGGCACCCTTACTGCCAGCCTCCAGACCTGGGAAATGTACATCCTTGCTGTTTCAGCCCCTCCGTCTGTGGATTTCTGCTATAGCTCCCTGAACTGACAAGAACACGGTTCCAAGGGAAAGAGAAAGAAACAATCCAACCAGAAACCTGTTCCCTCCTTCACTGTCTCAGGTTTCAGCCAGCAGAGAGGGGCGTATCTTACCCCCATTCCTTTGAGGCCCAAGTGTGGTGAACCGGGAAGAATCTCCATTCCCTTCTGTGTCCACTCTCTGAGGCCCACGTCAGCTGACCCGCCCCAAGGCCCGTGTGTATAAACGTGCACACGATGCCTAGAACCCCCAAGACACTGCTGCTTCTTTGCAAAGTTCTAATTGCAGCATCGCACCTATAGGCCAGGGAAGGTAAGCCTGCCATATTCTTAGATATCTTAGTGAACCAGGCTTTGCGCTTTAATCAGCTTTGGCAGTAGACAGTGATTCTTCATTTCCAAGAGGCAGCGATGAGTCAAGGTCATTACTAAGCAGTGGGAAAGAAGAAAGACTTGATCAGATGCTTCTGCTCAGTGGAGTTTCCATGTTATCTTCTCCAGCCAAAATCTGCCAGCTGCCTCTAACACATTAGAAAAATTATGGTTTAAAAAAAAAACCCACTTATTTCCTAGTTCTTTCCATGTTTGGGGGCGGAGGGAGGAACCTATAAATAAAAATCAATCCAGAAGCAATGTGCCTCCCTAGCACTCAGACTGAGGTTGCTAAGTAAGATGTTGTGCGGAAAGTGACCAGGAATCCTTGGAGAAACCACCTGTTGTAGGTGCAGGGCAGGAAATCTCCAAGATGGGCTGGGAAGCAAGGGGGCTCCTAAAGACACCCAGGGTTGTGTCAGATGGCGGCCACTTGGAGGAGACAGGATGATCTGAGCACGAGTAAAACTAGCAATTGAAATCAGTTGAAACACCTCAAATATGTCTAAATTCACAAGTTCAAAATATTCATACAAATCCTTTGGAGAAAGCTTGGTGAATCAAGGCATTATTTTGAAAAGTGGTAAACCAAGTTGCAAGCTTTCATTCGGCCTCTGCTGTGTGGAGTGTACTTCAGGGTAACAGAGTTTGATGAGGGAAGCTTCTCTTTATAAAGCATTCCCACTAAGAAATGAAGAAGGAACGACAGAATTGGATCATCACCTGATGGGAATAGATCTAGGCCACAATCATCAACAGCTGCTAATATCACAAAAGGAGAGAGAGGCAGCTATTACATGGTTCCCGACGTACCTACATTTTACCAACTAGGAAGGAGTTTTGTCAAAAACAAAACCAAACAAAAAACCAACCAGAATCTGAGCAGCCTTCTGGATCTCACAGCCACTTTACAAGAAGTGCAGCGGATGGAAGAATACATTAAACAACACCAGGGGAAAGCAACAGCAAAAATCAGACTGTGGAAACTCCACGAGACTAACAGCAAGGGTTCTCCCACAGATAAACTGGATGGAAAAAGGGGAAAAAAAGAAGGAAAGGAACCTCTAAGTTGAGACAACAGATGTATTTTGATCCTGACTCCTGCAAATAAACTACAATTTAAAAACATTTGATGTTCTGGCCAGTGTGGCTCAGTTGGTTAGAGCGCTGTCCTATAACCAAAAGGCTACAGGTATGATTCCCAGTCAGGGCAAGTACCTAGGTTGTGGGTTCGATCCCCAGTCCAGGCACGTATGGTAGACAATCAATCAATTCATACTTCTCTCTTGCATCAATATTTCTCTCTCTCTCTCCCTTCCTCTCTCTTTAGAAGGCAATGGGAAAATGTCCTCAGGTGGGGATTTAAAAAAAAATCTTTTTGAAAAGAAAAAAAATTGAGGCCCAAATAGTACAGCAGACTGATAAGGAGATCAAACTACAGAGTTAATAAAAACATTTATCACTTAGGAAAGAGTTGAGAGTCAGATCTGACTTCGCATCCTGCTCCTCTCTGGCTAACCTTGGAGAAGTGTTCAATCTCTCTTAGTCTCAGTTCTCTTCGTCTCTGACATGGGATCATCGTGGCTACTCACAGGGTTTCTGTGAGGATTAAATAACACGACACGCACGGCAGCCCCGTGGAAGCACTTAGTCAACTCCACGACGCGCCCCACAACTAAACCGCAACACAAGCTTCCAGAACAGCAGGTTCTCAGTGAAGGGCTGTAACGCAGCGCTTCTGGGGACGGAAGCACAGCGTTTTGTGATCCGTCGTCGAAGCGTCTCCCTCTGCCCCCCAGGACTCAGCGCTGCTGCATTTAAAACTATCACTTATCCACACCTCCCACTGACGGGACGGACTCACCTGTATCGCAAACTTTATGCAGCAAGCATTTTTCTTCTTCGTTCCAGGTGTCTAGGTATTCATCCCGGCCACAGGGCAGGCACACGCTGTCCGAGGTGACAGTGCACTTGGAGGACATATATGTCCCTTCAATGAGAAAGGGGAGAAATACACTAATCAAAAATACCCAAAAAACAAAACAACGGGACAGCACCAATCTCCTGGAACATTTGTGACCGTGATCCCAGGAAGTCCCCCAAAGACAGTAGGGTGCACAGGACATGGCCACACCTCATGGCGACGGGCTCCTTGGGCCTCCCAGCTGCTGAGATAGCCTCTCTGTGTCCTGGGTCCCGGCAGCCTTCCAGTCCTTCCGTGGGAGAAACACCCCCTTCCCACCCCACGCCTCCACTGGCTGAGGTACAGAGCAGTGGTTTTCAAACCGGTGCCTGTAGGACTTGAGGGGTTCCCTGGGGGCTAAGCAAGAGGGACTTCATTTCCCCCTCCCCTCTCTTCTCCTGGGTAAGTCCCTTCTTCTGCTCTGCACGGACTGTGAGCTCATGGTTAACTTAGACTGGTCACACACACACACGGTGGATCCTGGTTCTGCACATTCAAGAAATATTTGTAGCTGAAATACCTCAAGGGTCTCGTTCTAACCACCTTTTCCTTCCAGATAAGCTCCCCTCCCCAGGGCAATGAGTGAATGGGGACCCCGTGGACTCAGGAGTTCACTGGGGCTGTAGAAATGAGGCCACATTCTGCAGAACAGTGGTGGGGACGTCGTCACCAGCCCACCTTCCGCGCCTCAGCAGGTGCGCACGTGGGGAGAAGCTATAACAACAGGGTTGTGGCAATTTCAGCAGCAGCAGCTCGGGTACGGTTATCCCCCCCCCGCACCCAGTTTCGTCTGCCATAATACTTTGCAATGAGAGTTGAATTTCATATTTTGAGAATGTGAATCGCAAAGTGCTAAAACATGCTTTTAAAAGCCTTCTTGCCCTCTCAAGAAACAATGTTTTGGAAAACAGCATTCCAGCGTGGAGCCAGTACCAGTTTCTGAAATTGCTTTTGATTTTTAAGTGATTTTATCTACAGGGAGAAAGGTTTTTGTCTTCAGAGTGACAGACATTACCACCTGCCACTACCATAAAAAGCCCATCCAATTTCTCTTTTCATCTGGCAGACAGAAATCAGTCCTTAGATTAAAACAATATATAACTGAAGTCCCACCCCCTTTTGAGGGGCAATGGAAGGTGCCTCATCTGTACACACCTGGCTCACATTTGCTGCAGCACCGTCCAAAACGCTCGTAATGCCTCTCGCTGGCACACGGAGGGGTGATCTGAAAAGTCACCTGAAAGAAAATTGACAGAGGCAGAGGTTATGCACAAGTTCTTTCTGAACAAAGCAGAAAAATGAGTCATCAAATTACATTTCGGAAAAGCATAACACCATAAACAGTCCTGAAACTCCTCTGTGCAGCTTTATCTCTTCCCCCGCCAAATGCCACTTTCCTATTCTCGCCCATTTCCCCCGAAGAATGTGTACATGCAACACCCTAAGAATGTATGCATGCATCATGATCCTGGCACGAGAAGCCGCTTACACATTCACACATATTTCGGTTACGTTCGTGGTGATACGAAGCATTAAAGGAAAATTGACAAATGGGACGCAGAAGGTTGGAAACCGCTTGACACAAGCCACATACGAAACCGGTCCCACTCCTGTGCGCTGCATGGTGGATAGCATACTGTCAACGTCGGTCATAAACTGTAGGAAATACAATGAGGCCCTTCCCATGCCCAGGTGGGCAAAAGTAGGCTTACAGCTGTTTGTATGGAAAATAGTACAATCATCAGTAAATAACAACACAAGAATAAACTGTGTTTCCCACACTCATGATTGTAAATCCACTTTTGCTTACCCCTGTGTATTATACCAGGGGATGTGGAATCTGGCCTTACAAGCTAGATCTGATTTCTAAAAGATTTTTAACACTGCTTACTTTTTGGACGTTTAAACAGGCCGAGAACTTTGGACGCAGCACAGCATCTGCGAAAGGAACCACTGGGGCCCGGAGCCGGGCGTCCCGGCCGCCTGCTGCCTGAGGGGCCCCAGACAAGCCGCCTAAGCTTCTGGAGTCCCTGCTTCCTTTCTGCATGATTCTAATATAAACGTTAATTTCCGAATCTGCCCATCTATGTAAAACAACACAAAAAACCAAGCGTCTTACATTCACTTAGAGATTCTTATCAGTGTGCTGCAGAAAAGCTCTTTCCTCACAGCTTTCTCAGTGTAAGAGGAAAAAAAAAACACACTTGCTGACAGGCAGTGACATAGAAATGGAGCAATGAAACTGAAGAGCTGGGTTCAGCGGAAGAGAGGAGGGCCCAGTCCTCGCAGGGTCCCGGGATCCCCTGCCGCCGACCCAGCCCCCCGGGAGCTTGCACACTTGGGCGGGCTCTGGGGGCCCCAGGGCCCTGCCTCCCTGAAGGGGTCTGGGGCTGGTTTCCTAAAGGACGTGTCAAGTGAGCTCCATCTTGCAGGACAGATAGCAATAGGCCAGAAAAGGAAAAGAGAACTGGTAGGTGGCAGTAGGGGCAGAGGTAAGGAAGACGGGCAGGTAGGGGGAGTGGAAAGGTGACAGAGACCATGAGCAGAGCGAGGGGTGAGGAGCACAGCAGAAGAGGGGGCTCCGTCTGCACGAGGGTGGGAGGTGCAGAAACAACACAGCCGTGCGCCCTCCAAGAGCAACTCGGTGGTGGAAGGAAGTTCCGTGGAGAGAGCTCATGCCCAGAAACCCTAGGCTGCCTGCGGGGCTGGGGGTGCCGAAATGCAGCCACCAGGGACCTCTCTGACCTCCCCCTGGCCAGGCACAGGGCTCACAGGAGAGAGGCGGTCGAGGGCAGTGGAGGTTGATGAGAAAGTCAAATGTGTCCCTGGAGCCAGGTGTGCCAGGAGGGTTGTATCTTCCTAGCAGCTACCACGCCTGTGGGCACTGGACAACGTGAATCAGCGGCTCCCCACCCAGCCTGCGCTGGACAGCGGCACCGCGAGTCCAGGGGAACCTGGGACGGGTGGCGAAACACAAACCATAGCATCGCTCCTCTCTGGTCTCTTTCTCTTTGCTTTGGTAGGAGTCGTCCCCTGGAGGCTGCCGCGCCCCCTGTGTGTCTAGCACAGCCTCGTGTGCACATGGAAGGAAGATGAGCAGAAGCACAGCGGCAAAGCTGAGCGAGGCCGGCGCACACTTGTCAAACAGGACGCACTGGAGCCTGGTGCGCAGTCCCTGGTGCGCAGTCCCTGGGGCGGCGTCCACGGCGGCGCTGCGGGAGATAACCGTGTGGTCGCGTCTCAGCGGGGAAAGGTTATCAATGGCTTCCGACCCGTAAGAGAGCTGCGACAGTGTCTGTCAGATAAGTGTCTACTTTGTGTTACACACACAGAAAGGTTCTTTTTAGGGGAATTCGGTGCCGGGCTCCCCGTGAAGCAGCTGCTTAGGAAGCTGGTCGAGAGCCGCTGGCGGGCCCTGGGCTCTGGATCCTGGTTGCTGTTGAGCACGCGGACAGTTCGCTTTCACGCTCAGGAGTGTGGCTGTGATTCGTTCAACGCACTCACCAGCTCCTGGCACAAGTGGGCAAGTCACTGGCTCCACAGTGACCAGAGGCCCCCGCTCTGAACCAGATGTGTGCCAGTTATTCTCAGAACTCATTTCTGCCTACTAGGCTCACTGTGTCTTTACACCAGGACACGCCCTCTTTTTGCTCATTTGATATGATTCCCATAGCATAAAATTCACTCTTTAAAAGGGCACAACTCAGTGTTTTTTAAAAAATATATTCAGTGGTCGTTGTGCAAAGGCCGCGGCTATCTAATTCCAGAACATTCTCAAGGACCCCAAACTGGCACGTGCCCTTGACAGACCTATAGGGTTATGGGGCTTTTCAGAGGCAGCAGTGATTTTGCGGTGTTGATCTAAGTCAGGGTACAGCTTGCACAGGAGTCGACTTTGTTCTCCAGTTCCTTCTGTACGTTGCAGCACGCCTTTACCCTTCAAAAGGCAGTAAGTGTACAACTTCAAAGACAACATAGATGCAAAGCTACGTAGAAGGAAGTATGGTTTAGGGGTGAATGAACAGAAGCTGGAACTCAGGAGCACGTGCCTTTGCTGTCCTCTCTCGCCCAGGGTCCCAGCTCTCTGCTCCCCGCTCTCCCGCCCTCCGCGCACAGAGCGCGGCTGGAGAACGGCTGCTGGAGGACCATGCAGCTCCCAGGCCGCAGCGGGCAGCATGCAGAGCCCGCCGTGCGCTGGCCTCACCCTGGCCCCGTGCCCACTCCAGAAACAGCCTTTCCCGCTCTGCCACCCACAGTGCAGTCCTTGTGGCTGGGAACCCAGGTCTGACTTCCTGGCCGGTCTTGCTTTGGCTGATCCCCTGGGGACTTGCCTCTTGGTACCGCAGCTCTGCTGCCTGACTCCGGATTCTCAGTCCCTGCGTCCCACCGGCTTGGGCCCCGTTTCCCAGGAGCTGGATCTCATTGATGCCAGTCTCCCTGGCTGGCCTGCCACATGTATCCTCTGAACGGCGTTTTCTTGTGTGAATGAAGAGTGACCTTCGGCCCCTCCCAGTCTGGCCTCTTGTTTCCCCTAAGGAGTCGAGTTCCACATCTGCAATCTCACCAGCCGCTGGGGAGAGCCCAAGGCTGCCCAAGCCCCTCCTGGTCCTCTGGGCCTTCCTTTCCAATAGCTCAGAATTTGGACCTGGCTCCAGCCTCCAAGACCAAGCCCCCAATGGTTGTGAGGTGGAAGCTCTTGCTATCAACAGCAGTGCAAGTACGGCTGTGGTTTGATAAAAAGCGTGCTCCTCCTTCAGTGGTATGAAGTAAGCTCCGGGGGAGGGGGGAGTTTGGCGTAAGCCTGCAGATTTTCAGTAAATGGGGTGACTTCGTCAGCTACCTCCACTCCCCTTTCTTCGCCCTGCACGCAGCAACAGAAGGCTTTGGGGACTGAGTTGAGAGGTGCAAGTTTTAGTTATCTAGATTTTTTTTTGCTAGTTTGCCTTGAAGAATAACTCTATTGTTTTCTGTGAAACAATAGAGCTTTTGAACCATAGTTGTTTTCATTAAGCAAATAAAGCAGAATCACTTAAAAAACTGTTTCTAACCCTTACCTGAAGAGAGAGAAAGAGAAAAACATCGAACAGTTGCATCTTGTACGTGCCCCAACCAGGGACCAAACCCGCAACCTAGGCATGTGCCCTGACCAGGAATCAAACCCGCAACCTTTTGGTGTACAGGACGATGCTCCAACCAACTAAACTGCACTAGGCAGGACTAAACATTTTTACTTATTGAAGAAAGCAGACAGTCACATGATACAAAATGTAAAAGGTACAAGCTATTGGAAAGTGTCCCTCCCGAGCGGCTGTCCGCCCGGGTAACCAGAGCCACCATTTCTTGGGCATCTTTCTGCAGGTAGAAAGAAGAACTGACTGATCTGTGACCCAGTGGGGGGACCACTGTGTACGACAGCTGTCTTGGTGGCCAGCTGGGATCGGGTCTGTTTGCAGAGCCTGTGTGCTGGGGAATACAGTTTGGTGCATGGCACTTGGACGTCTTGCACAACCCAGCCATGATTGACAGGGTCCTACTCAGGTTCTTACTCAGGAATCTGCAAAAATGTTTGGCCCACAGAGTTTACAACAAGTAACGGTTGTTTTCTAATAGACTGGCCCTGAATTAACAAGGAACACTAGAATCTGTTTATAACCAATACATTTCCACCCCCCTTACCATATGAATTCCTCAAAAAGTCTTTTTTTATTTTTCTTTTAAAGGAGTTAAAAGTGGCATGGTGATACATTTAGTTTATTGGTCTTCTGTTGCCTCACTCTCTCGTGGGTTTTGTTTTGTGCATGTATTTGTTTTGGGGCATACAGGCTGGTGTTTATTGTAACAGCTGACAAACTCTTCTGGAATACGTGTGCCCATAGCCTGTGCAAGGCTTTGGGAGGTAGTAGGAAGATAATATATCGTAAATCAAAATTGTCTTTCTAAGGTTCTGTGGATTTACTTCCTGAGGCATAGCGAAGGTGGGTCTAATTCTGAAAAGCCCTACACGGAAGCAACCTAGCATTTCTGCTGGTGGCGCTACGGAGGCTAGTAGGTCTGTATTGAGGATCCTGTAGAAATATTTCCTCCATGAAATATTTCTTTTGCATGCTGTTCATCAACCCAATGGCAGTGAAAGCCATTATAGGTCCTAAAATTACTTGCTTGCTCTACTGAAAATTCATGCTGACACATAACAGAGCAGAAAAGAAGCGTGGCCCCTTCGGTCAAACCGAGGAGAAA